AATGACTGAAATAGAGAAATGAGAGTAATTGTGCACTGTGGCTAGGAAATCCTGGCTGAAGTTATATCTGAGTTTATCTGATGACTCTCTGTTTTCAGTGTTCAAATGTAATTTAAATGGGGAAATTCAGGTACCTAAACATAATGCTTTGGAGATGACGGCAGTTGCTGGAGTCATCTAAATGTGTTGGCAGCTTTGACACAGGATTTATGGCAGGATTTGTGCCCTGCTGGAGCAGCAGCTGCAAGCCAGACGGGCTTCTCAGAGCATCTAAAATGACATTAGACAGCCCTTCTTATATTTAGGCACCTGAATCTCTCTAAATGTTCCTTTCTTGGAAATACGTGTTTTAGAATCCATTCAATGCTACTTCTAAGTTACAGGAATGATATGGTTGTGTAATCAAATACAGAACAGAAAATGACAGAAAGAAGGCACCTCAGGCAGTCTTAACATGTCTTCTTGCAAGTATGATTGTTAACACAGTCCTTAGGATATCAGATAATTTTTCCTACAAAACCCACATTGCGTTCAGTCTTCGAAAGGTAGATACGTATGCAAACCTTTCCATCTTTTAATTACTGTGCATCTTTCAGATTCTGCCGTGAATATGAAATTATTAATTTCCTCATGGAAAATTATTAATGAATACTAATGAATACAACTTTACAGTGCCTCTCCCAAAAAAAATTACCTCAATTCCCAGTTTACTGTGGTAGCTGTGATGTCAAAATCTTTAAAGTGAAAACAGGGAAGGTAGTGTGGACAAAACATCTTGATGTTGCACCTGTGTTGTGTCCATATGGGTCTTGCTGAGAATACACTGGAGTTCATAGATTAACAGAAGGCTTGTCCGATGAATATGTTTCACAGTTGTATGCTGCATGCTATTGCAACTTAATAAAGGTTTCAAAAGGTGTGTTATGTCGCCTTATCCTAGAGAGGGGTACTAATAAAAGGGGATGATAAAGTTCAAGTCATTAAGTTTACATTTGCAGCATAAGCAAATTAGGAGTGGGAAGACAAAATAGTGCAATATAAGAGCTATGATGGAGATAAATGATTCAGGCGAGAGGAGGTGGGCGGGGAGAGGGGAGGACAGGAGATGAATGGCTGTGGGAACACTCACTTCCCATCTCCACATCCTGGACACATTGGAGGACTTTGTGGTGACACACACTGAAATGGCACAGAGAGAGTGTTTTTAAGTGCAGAACAGTACTGCGTTTTACCTCTGATTTGATCCTGGAATGTCTGCTTCTAATATTAAAATAATTAGTCCTAAAAGCCTAGCCTTAGGTCCAAAACGTGTCTTATACTTAAAAGGGAGGGTGAACCTCAGCGAAACTGGAGACAGTGGGGTGCAGTGTCTCCGCGGCAGCAAGGAATCAGCGAGAGGAGGAAGCCAAAGTGCCTGCTCCTGGTGAAACAGGAGATCCTGCCTGGGATGGATGTCCCCATGCTGTCCCCGCTGCCACCGGCACAGGGCACTGAGATGTTCTGCAAGGCTCTGGGTGAACCCCGAGATGCTGCAAACATCAGGTCCAGGGGGGACGGACCAGGTTAGGATGCACAAGGCTTAAATCCTTTGTAGACTCAGTCCCCAGTCCTCTAGGGCAACATTCAACTGCCTCAACTATAAGCCAGTCCTTTTTGCCTGTCTCCTTCACGATATGTCTTTCCACTATCTTCAGTGAATGAAATGGGTCCCGTGGGGTGAAAAGAAATTGTTCTAGAGACTAAGCTATAAAGTAAGTGCATTAAGGGAGTCAAATGAAGGCTGTACAGGAACTCTTAATTTTCCCATTTCCTAATTTCTTCAC